AGCCCATCAGCAGCTTGCAGCAGCTGGAAGACCACGACAAGTAGCTTCTGTTCGATGTGATAAGGGAGAGGCAGAGGGCACGGTCAGAGCAGCCCAAGTGTCCTGGAGCGCTCAGGCCGCCTCTGAGCATCGACCTGTCGAGGCCGCTCAGGGACGCCGGAGCAGGAGCGGGAGTTCCGCGGGCAGCGGGTGCGAGTCCTCGCTCTGGGCATTGGACTCTGTTGGACTCTGTTGGACTCTGTTGTAGTGCTCGCTGACCACAACGTCCTTCCATTGTTAATTCAGCAACAGGAGCTTCTCATGCAGAGCTAATAATTAGCTGAGCTTTTACACAGCTCGGCTGCCTGCGCGGTCGCATTAATTTTTAAACAAATAGTCAGTGAAAGAGCCCATAAACACAGAGGCCGTGTTCTTCACTGGGGAAGGCAGGTGCTCTTGCTCGGAAGGCAGCGCAGTGACAGCCATAAGCAAGGGGGTGGGGTTTGATGTATTATGTGTGAAGCCTGCGCTGTATATTAGATGCTCTTTTTGCCCTTGTCAGTGACTGTGCCTTTTTCCGTGTATTGGTTTGTTCTTTGTGTTTGTATCTAGATCCAGAGTGGGCTTCTTACAAACTTGGAATATTCATTTGTTTGAATTGCTCTGGGATCCATCGCAACCTTCCTCAAATCAGCAGGGTCAAATCACTTCGGCTTGACTTCTGGGAGAACGATCTGATAGAGGTACAGAGGAAAAAGCTATAATTTACTTACTTTCCCCCACATTTCATCATAACCTTCTCTGCTTGTAATTTCTGTGTCAACCACCATGGACAGAGGAACAAATGCATGCAGAGCTAAGTTCACTCCATGTGTCACTTTAGGGGTTTTTTATGATCTGCTCAATCAAATTACACTGGTAGGTGACCGTGTTTCTAACAGCCTGCAGACTGTTTTTTATAGCACACAGTAGCTCCTCATTGTGGTTTAGAAGCCCACACATATTTCCAGATAATATGTTCTGTTTGGAAATCAACATACCATTCTTAAACGTTGGTTTAGCCTTTCATCTTTAAATTGAGTTGTGTTGGTGGTAGTTGCATAATCACTGTTAATATCTAGAAGATGAAGGTATAGGGAGATCATATTGAAAAAGTGCACACTGTAGTGCCAAAGGGAATTTATAAGTGTATGTAAAGATGCACTGAGAGTTCTGGCGAGACTGAGCAAAAGGTGCAGCGCTCTCTTTGATAGGAGTTTCGTTGACATAGTAGTGATTTCGTAGCTGCACACCTAACCGTAACTTTTTTTGTGTTTCAGTTTATGAAGAATCATGGGAATGTCTGTGCCAAAATTAAATATGAGGCAAAAGTCCCTCCCTACTATTACATCCCCCAGTCCTGTGATTGCTTGTAAGTTGATGGTGTATTCACCACTGCAGACCTTTACAGCCACTGAACTACTGCTTGCCTCTACAGGTCTCTTTGGCTGGTTGGTGAAAACAGAGGCAGATCAGCTCTATCCATGTTTTCCTCTTTCAGGGTTTTAAGAGAGCAATGGATTAGAGCTAAATATGAGCGTGAGGAATTTGTTGCCACCCGACTCTGCCAAGATCCTTGTTCTGCAGGTAAAAGTTAGGATTGTCAGGGAGAAGGTGTTAGCCTTAAAGCCAACAGCACAGCGTTCTGTTGGCCACTTTGAAGATCTTTAAGGTTGGCTTGTCGTATTCGAACTGCTGAATGTGCAGGTCTTGCTTTGAATCTAACTTTGAGAAGAGGTTTCTAAGAAAAAGCACTTAGCTAAGTGCAAGGTTGCATCTGGATCTTACAGTTCTCTAGTTCTCCACGGATTTTTTCATACGAGGTGGAAATTCTCAGGTGAAGAAGAGACTTGAAACTCTGTGCTACATCACAATTTAGAGGAACAGTCCTAGTATTGTGCTGCCCTTCTCTGACACTTATCTTGGTCTGATCTGCAGGTAGCCGTGAAGGATTCCTCTGGAAGCGTGGGCGAGAAAACAGACAGTTCCAGAAGAGACAATTTGTCCTGTCAGCAAGGGAAGGGGTGATGAAGTACTTCACCAGAAAAGTGAGTTCCTCAGCCAGAGGTAGCTGGTCAACATCCATCCTCTCACCCTGCTCTTCACCAGCAAAACCCAGCATAAATAGCATTGTTTCTAGTTTTGCAGCCAGGCCAGCCTGTGTTTGGAGGAACCCTGATGTTTCCCCATTAATATATGTGGTATCTTAGGCAATTGCTCCTTTGCATTTAGCCTTTTTCTTCATCCCTTATCTTAACCCTGCAGCCTTCTTTTGCTTAGTGAGCAAAGGAAATGGATATTGGCAGTTGAATAGCAAGATGAAGAAGAGATCTGTTGGCAGCTGTTCCTTCTTATATTAGCAAAACATTCTCTCATCAACTGCTGCAATGTCGTCCTCATCATGTCTCTCTTCTGTGTAGTTAATTGTTCTCCAACTATGAGGCTAGAGATAGACTCATCCCTTGTAATTCAGACACATCCCACCAAATAGAGACCCAGCATTTGTCAAGGAAAGGGAGTCACTCTTTGTAAATGATTTTATGTAGCATGTAATTAAGGCTTTATATTTCTGCTATATCCAGTATTCAGATATTTCAGAATGCCTGCTTTCTCTTCAATAGGGATCTAGTTCTCGTACAGCTAATCTGTTCTCCGTTACTTTCCCTGAGAGCACTTTAATACAGTGATGCTTTTCATTTCACAGTCCAAAGGTCCAAAAGCCATTATCAGCATTAGGAACCTGAATGCAATGTTCCAGACAGAGAAAATCCAACATTCTCACGGGCTGCAGATCACATACAATACAGATGGTCAAACAAGGAACCTTTTTGTCTATCACGAAAGTGGAAAGGTGAATACTGTGGAGATTTTTGAATAAGCAAGATGCTTAGATATTGGATATATATTGTAGAAGAGATACCCTGTTTCTGCAGGATCTGGTTTTATTTGAAATCACTATGACTTGTAGAATATAGAAAGTTTCAGAATTTGACACTAATAACTGGAATGTCTTGCTCCTGTTCTGTTGGGGCATGTATTCAACTTCACACTCTGAATAATATTAAGGCTTCAGTGGGGCACGTATATAAGTCTCTGTAAGGTAACTGTCTCATGGGTTTATACAACTCCGTGGTTATATTCTTTGAAGCTTTCTTGACATGTATAAAAAATATTTTGCATTATTTCTAAGCAAACAATGATGATTCCAAGAAGTATGTCTATAGGTTTTGTAGATTTCTATTGCTTCCCATAGTTCTCATTTCTTTCCAGGTGCAAAGGTTTTTAAACAATCCACAACTAAATCAACTGAAAAAGGCTGTGTACACAGACTTGGGTGACTGTCTGGTACTTCCCTGGAGAGGCATTTTTAAATTATTTTGGAGGCTCGGTGTTTTTCGGGTGTCTGGGACAAGTCACTGACACTCACTGCCCCTCGGAGAGGAAGTGTATCTTTGCAAAGAGGTCGCAAGAAGAAAGGCATTTTGGAGAGGCAGCACTCTACTCCTTCTTGTTACTCCTGTTTTTCTGTTTGTATCTGCTGTTTTCCCTAGGAGATTGTTGACTGGTTCAATGCCATTCGGGCAGCACGTTACCATTATCTCAGAACAACCTTCCCAGCTGTCCCTGAGCCTGAGGTGAGAACTGAACAGGGCTTGAAGCAGTCTGTGCAAACATACCACGGGAGAACATTTTCTTGCTTCTTCTGCCAGAGTCAGGTGCACAAACAGCAGCAGGTGGGAATGGACAAAAGAGGTAGAAGGAGAGGCCGTACTGGGTAGCGTGCAAAAACGTAGTCAACATTTAAGGCCTAAAATTCTGCATGTGGTCCTTACAGGAAGGAATCTAAGATTTTTGAAAGATTACACTTTCTTTCAGACTTCCTTTTACTGTGCAGCCAAAAAAATCCAGACTGCCCAACCCAAAATTGATGGTGATTAGCTGTGGCAGAAATGGAACAGAAAAGCAAACTTGAATGAGACAGACTTTTTTGTGTGTGTGTTTTTGTTCTCTTAGCTCATACCCAGGATCACAAGAAAATATGTCAAAGAAGGATATATGGAAAAAACAGGACCAAAAGTAAGTGCATACTTAGCAGTACACAAACACGATTATTCCAGGTGGAGAATATTTGATAATTCTGTGTTATTTACGAGTAAATATGCTATATGCTATATTTATAGCATATGCTATATATATATATGCTTCCTGGGTCTGTAAGAGATATTATATTCAAACTTGTCATGTTATTTGGGATTGTGTTTTGGTTTGTGTGGAAAATGAGGCTGGAAAGAAGAATCCTTCTTAAAGAGTAAGCAAGATGGATTAGTTGGCAGTGGACATGCAAAGTCCTGTTACGCAACACTAAATGGATTGCTGTCTCTGCTAACTGCAGCTCTAGAACGGCAGCCCCTGCTAGAAGAGAACATCACATGCTGACTCCCCTACTTCCCTGTTTCTTTTAAAGTCAGTAGCACATAAGTCAGATCTGCTTATAACAGCAAAGTAGGATTGAGCAAATTCTCCACAGTGAAGCTTATGGTTTGGGTTGGGTTTTTTGTAGGAGAGTATTTGGGCCACTGCTTATTAGAACAGGAGAGGGAGATTTCAGGCACTGCTGAAGGAGGAGATGATGATCTGAGGTCTTGCTTGAATATTGCTTGCTCTTGCCTTGCTCTCTGAGTGAACCTTGAGGCAAAGTTCTGTTAAAATGTTCAGTGGTGTACTGCTGATAATATGCTGGCGTTTTGGCCCAGCTCAGTGCTACTGCCCCAATACATTTTCCTGCAGTTACTTGCACAGAGAGTATGCACAGCTACTAGCACGAACGATTGTGTTTTTTTCTCCTGAGACCTAAATTGTGCTCAAACTGAAGTGAGCTTTAGAAGAGGACCCTTCAGTTCTCTAGTGCGGACCCAGGGAGAAGGAAGCTGAGGGCTGCACACAGCAGTGACTCATTTCTTACCAGTTACAGGGATGAATGGAACTGAACTCAAGCTCTGAGTCATTTAAGCAGTCCAGGGATCTGCCTCGAATAGGCTGAACTCCCCTTTGGGACTTGGTCTTTAACGAACTTTTACGATCTCCTTGCAGCAGAAGGAGGCCTTTAAGGTGCGCTGGTTCTCCCTGGATTCTCAAGAAAGGAACCTGATGTACTTTAAAAATCCACTGGTAAGAGGAATGGGATTTTTGCTTTTCCACAAGCTCTTTCATGAAGCTCGGTGAGGAGGAAGGGTCTGTTCTCATCCAGCTCTTCCAGCAGCTGCACAAGACTGAAGCAGGCTCAGTCTGAAGAGCTCATCTCCCTTGTCAGTGGATCTCTGAGCTATTTGGGAACTCTGGTCCTTACAGTGTCTCTGAGGAAGATCTAAGTCTTCTAAAAGTAGCTGCTACTGCCTGTAGCGTTTATGCGCATTCTCTCCCAGCCCTATTGCCCTTGTGCCTTTAACCTTAGACAAAGGGAGCAATATACCAATAACAGAGGCTTGACAGCCCCAGTGTTCTGCTTGCTAGCACTGCTCTAGCCCTGAGAATATCCTTCCGTGCTCCTTCTGAACAGCCATCAACCAGCTCTGTAAGGGTGGGTCCCCACCTCCCTCTGAGAATACCCATGAGCGTAAAAAAAAATTCTGGTGTGTTTCCTGCTGCCTGTCCCCAAACCACTGTCCCCTTCATGCATCCCTAGTGCCTGTTCCATGTCGAAGGATGGAACAGTGTCTGCTGGAGCCACACTGTCCGCTGGCTAATGGCTGTCCTCTGCTTCCTTCTTTCTAGGATGCATTTGCCCAGGGCCAGGTTTTTATTGGAAGGATGGATGAGGGGTATGAAGTACGAGCTGGCTTGCCCAAGGGAATGCGGGTGAAGAAGAGGAAACCAGCGATCACTGTGGTCACGCCAGTGAGAGAGTTTGTGTTCATATGTGAGAATGACAGGGAGCAGAGGGAGTGGATAGATGCCTTAAATGGAGTTATTGCCCAGCCTTTGAGTGGTTAAGACTAGCACTGAGTCCTGGTGAACTGCACTTCCTGGGCTCTGTTCAGCATTGCTCTGTGGCCTCTTTCTGTTGGGAACAATGGTGCTAAAGGTCCTTCAGTGACTCTCGTACAAAGGGCTGCTTCCTTCAACAGCCACAGGCCCAGGAAGAGTGGCAACAGGGAAATGAGTAAGAGGGAGTGCAGATACTCAGAATTTGTGCCTCCGCAGAACCTTGCTTGAAGTGCCATCTCTCTTCCTACCCTTCTCTGCTTTGGAGCAGAGGCCTTCCTTGCCTGGCACAGGGATGAATCATCCAGTGTTACCTTATGAAAAAAAAAACAACAAAAAACCAAAGTCAGTGGAGAAAATCTGACCGTGGAAGGGCTGGCATGCATTTCCTTGAGGACTCCTGTTATATCAGGTCCTCTTTTTCATACCTTGGACTCATGTCAGGACTCCTGTACATCCTGAAGGATGTACCTGACAGAACCTGCCAGTGAATGGAGTCATCTGTTACATGGCTACGTAGGGACGGTGTCCAAGAGGTAAAGAGACCGTCTCCTATGAGGAAGATGCAGGGTGTCCTGTTGGATAGATCTGAGATCCCAGTTCATGCTGCAGTCACTGGATGTTCTCAGGGAGTTGCAGAGTCAGGCAGCTACACTCCACAGCTCCTGTCCAGACAGGGACGTGGTTGTTTTCAACAGAGTGGGTTTAATGTCTTTTACCCTGTTACGTTTCTGGTACAGTAAAAAATAAAATTTAAATTTGAATTGTGGGGGATACTGCAGTGAAATTACCCTCATGACAAACACTCCTAGCGCCTTGCTATTAACATCCTCTGCTGTTTGACTTTTTAATGAGTGGCAAATGAAACATGTGAAGACTGAATTTTTCCAAAGCAACCCCTCACTGTACCTCAGCAAACACATTGCAAGTGCAGGATGAACATCGCTGACCTCTCTCACAGCTGAAGCTTAAGGAGTTTGATTAGTGTGAGCACTGAAAAGCAGAAACTAGTTTTGAAAGTGTTATCTTCAGTGACTCTATTGAAGACACTCAGTGAATGAGGACCAGCGCTGGATTGGAGGGCGAGTGCCTCCTGATCGGGTACCACCTGCATCCATTCTGTGCAGGAATTGATGAAAATTTGCATTACCTGATACAGTGCACCGAGTATTTTCTTGCCACGAGACCAAGTCAGAGATTTGTTTCTACCAAGCGGCCGGATGTTCAGATATTTAATTCTCCTAAATAGCCTTAGTTTGCAAATCAAGAGGAAGTCTTGCAGACCAAGTTTCTGGTAAGGCTTCCACATTTTGCTGACGATTGCCAGCCAGTCTGTAGTTCTCCTCTTCTGTAGAAATGAGGAAGTGCCAATACTTGCAGGGATTAGTGAGATGAACTTTTTTTTTTCCCTCACAATAGTGCAGAAGAATTGTTTGAGTTGGATCATCATTCTACCCATCTCAGCCAGCTCATCACCATCCAGCTCTGAGCAATCTGCAGCAGTTTTTCTTGCTGACATGCACCCTTGAGCTTGCCCCGCTCTCCCCGTGCAACCTGGTTCACTCTAGCTCACCTGCTGGTTCAGGTCTTTTTAATAAACTAATCCTGCAGCCCTTGAAATCAGTGGCAAAGCACCTTCTGACTCATACGACGAACGTCAGTCTTTGGTTTGACATATAGTAATTGTGATTTTGAGATGAACTGAGTAAGCCAGGATAACCTCAGAAGAGTCCAGTCCATCCAGCAGCTGAAACTCCCCAGTGATGGGGCTCTGCTCGCTCG